TTGAAAAAAGGATAGGCTGTGTCCCCTGTGCATAACTTGCTGTGGCTCCCTAGCACCCTCAGGGTAAGATGTAGAATCATTGGTTCACCAGGCCTTTCTGCATATTCTAGGCCTAATCAGTCATCGTTGTGTCTACCCACCCCTCTGCCACTACACACACACTCCCACATGCACCTACAAGGTCTGTAGTCACACTATTTTAGTTCCTCAAGAGCCCTGACGGTGTTCTGGGCTAGCTGTTGGGCAGCAAAGCTAGCTGGTGAAGTCCACCAGGAGAAACATGGACTGTCTGCTCCCACAGAGATGGACTGCCTTGCTGTGGGTCGGAATTAACTCGATGGCAGTGGGTGAGTTGAGAACTGCCAAGGAGCTCTGGTGACGCTGATTAAAGCAGTTGGCTGTGGGCAGTTCTACTCTGTCTCTGGGGTCGCCGTGCATTGGAATCAACTCAACAACAGTGAGTCTGGGCAGGGGTGCTTGCCAGAGAACATCCTGAAGCTGGACCCTCCATTCTTGAGCAGGTATATGAAGGGCTCCCAAAAGTTCATGGGAAAATTGAAAGAGAGTGGAATTTGTGTTCTGCTTGGCAGCTGACTCACTGTGTCCTTTGGTTGAGCACATTCGCAGAGGGATTTTCCTTTTTTCCCCCCTTCCTCTTTAGGAATTAAAAACTACCCCTTTGTTTGTACTGCCGCCTTCCACACAAGCAGCCTTTTGGCCAAAGAAGATTTTTACCAGATCCTGGGAGTACCGCGGAACGCCAGCCAGAAAGACATCAAGAAAGCCTATTACCAGGTCCGTGCAGAAGCTGGTTGGAGAACTAATGCCGTGGCCAGCGGCCTGTGTGCCAGTCCTCACAGGCACCATGCAGCCTAGAGGTGGTCTCATTGGACAGGCTTCCCCACCGGGTGATGCTGTGACAGCTGTGGCTTTAGACGGAGGGGAGGCTGAATGAATAAAAATGTGTGTGAAGCATTAGATGGGAAACCAGGCTCTGTATAGCTGTTCACCCAAATCACCACGTAAAGTTTACAAAGAGAAAAGACAAACTAAAACTTGGGGGCAGAGGGCCGGAGGAAGAGGCAGAGATGGGGACAGATCTCCATTCTCCAGAGCTGGCTTTGCAATTCTCTGTGTTCTGTTCCCTCAATCTCAGTAGGCACCCCGGTGGGCATTTTAAATGGTCATTCTCTGCATTAAGGTAGCAGTGTAGGTTTAGAATGGCCGGTTTTCATCATTGAGAAATGACGAGCTTGCCATGCTCCTAGTCCAAAACAGCTCAGGGCTAATAAGAGCAGTGGGTCATCGCCTCATAATGACCCTATAGGCGTTTCCGAGACTGTAACTGCGGGAGTAGAAAGCCCCATCTTGCTCCAGTGGTAATTTTGAACTACTAACCTTATGGTTAGCAGCCCAGCGCATAATGACTGCACCAACCAGGGCTCCTCCTTACCTCTAAAGAGGTGCAGTTGTGCTTGGTGCTGGGAACTCCTGGAATAACTACTCAGTGTCCATGACCATCTGCCATTTTCTTCCCCTTAGCTTGCCAAGAAATACCACCCAGACACAAACAAGGATGACCCCAAAGCCAAGGAGAAGTTCTCCCAGCTGGCAGAGGCCTACGAGGTACTGTGACTACTGTGTGTGCAGTGGCTGTCACTTGTGTGCATGAGTCTGAGGCCATCCCATGGTGGGCAAGGCCACCTGGTGAGTTTCCTGGAGCTCACTGTCTCAGCATAGATCCCCAAGGTCAGTCACCTCTGAACCCTGCCTAGTGCACCAGCTCTGTCAGCGATGGTGGGAATCGGCAATGGGGAAGACCAGCCAGGATAGGTGTCAGATGTTCTCAGAGAGGCAAAGCACTTGGCCCAGGTGCCTGTGCAGAGGTGACTGCCTTGTTACCTCTCTCCCAGTTCCTAGGGTTCAGGATATGGGGGTATTAGGTAGCTATGGGACCTGGCAACCAAATAGAACAGCCACTGCTTCAGGACTGCTGACTGAGTGCCGAGCCCTGGTCCCTGCAGCCACAGCTAATGGGACGCATGTGTTTCAAACAGCAGTTTCTCTCCAGCTATCTGGACTAGTTGATTGTACAGAAAGACTTTTAGAACCTGCTCAACCAAAGAAACAATCATTCTCGTTGAGTAAATTCTGACTAATAGTGATCCTGTGGGTTTCCGAGACTGTAACTCTATGGGAGCAGAAAGCCTCGTGTTTCTCCCAATGTCTGAAGCAGAGGGACATTATTAGAAAGGAAAGTAAGGGATTGGAAGCAGCATCCCCAGACCATACTGACAGTCATCCCGTGCCTGCTTCCTCTCCTGGGTGCCTTGAGAGGATGGGATCCCGAACCAGTCTCTGGTTGGCCGGCTGGCCTGTTTGGCTGGCCACGTTTCTCCTAGTTTCAGGCAGGGCTACCTTCCTCCTTTTCCCTTGGGGGGTAGGGTGGGGTGTGGATATCACTACGTGACTGGATCCCTGGGCGGGGCCATCTTTGGTTTTTCATCTGTGCAGACTCCAGGCTGAGCTCTCATCAGCATGGCCGGTGCTTTCCTCTCTGCCCACAGTGGGGTCTGTGTGTTACGTCCGTCGTCCTTTTGACCGGTGTCTCCAGAAAGTCTCCCTCGCTTGGCCTGCATTTTCTTCTTAATTCGAAAGGAAAAGGTGAAAAGGACAGTGCACAGCTAAATGAATCAGAGGGGAGCCTGTGCTTCTTCCATCCCTTCATCGCTCCCTGCCCAGGGGCCCCTCTCAGCAGTTCTGTACACTGTGACACTGGGTGAGTGGGTCTGTCTCCCCACTCTTCTCTTGGTGCCACCATTTCTTTTGTCTCCAGCTATATGAACACACAATAGTCTGTGGACAAGGGCTCCAGCAGGGGGCAGTTTGCTTGAGAGGTCGCAGGTCAGAGGCTGCACCTGGAGACGTTTTTTCCATCTAGGACACCCTGGGAGCTGCCCTTCAACTTGAAAAAGGGAGCCAGACTCCCACTTTCATTTCCCTTTGGCCATCTCCTTTTCGAGGTGCTGATGTCAGAGCCCCGCTCTGCCTCCATGACTTCCTGCCATCTTTGTTGAGCATGTGCGTGCACCGCAGATCATGTACCCTTCAGTCCCTGCATGAGCAGTGCTGCCACACGTTGGTGACCTTCACACTGTGCAGCCATTCTCACGCCCTGAATCACCTATATTTTTCCGTCCACATCAGGAACCCTGTTTTTCGATGGTTTTTAGGGTTATAGGTTTCACATTGTGTGTGGGAGAACATGGGCTTTCTACTCCCACGAAGACTGACTGTCTCAGAAACCTTCAAGAGCAGTTCTGCTCTGTCCTATCGGGTCCCTGTGAGTCGGAATCGACTCGATGGCGGTGAGAGGTTTCACAGTTAGATCTTTGACCCACCTTGAGTGGGTTGGACACATGGTGTGAGATTGTTACTGTGCTGTGACTGGTTGACCTTGTGTGACTTTGTCTGTGCTCCTGTGCCTGGGAGGAACACAGGCCAAGGCCCATGACTCTCCTGCCTTCCCTCTGGCAGGTGCTGAGTGACGAGGTGAAGCGAAAACAGTACGATGCGTATGGCTCAGCGGGCTTTGATGCCGGGGCCGGCAGCTCCGGCCAGAGCTACTGGAGGGGTGGTCCCTCTGTTGACCCTGAGGAGCTGTTCCGGAAAATCTTTGGGGAGTTCTCGTCGTCATCGTTTGGAGATTTCCAGAGCGTGTTTGATCAGCCCCAGGAGGTAAGTGGCTCACATAAAAGACTTGTTCAAGTTTTTAACCGCTGCCTGTTGAAAACAGACATTTAACCACGCCTGCACCTTCCACAGGCCAAAACAAGGACTTCCGTTTTGACCAGATAGTCTTGCATTTGACCCAGCAGGCAGTCCCTAAGATTTTCAGAGTTCCCAGTGAAGAGGCAGTATTTCAACCAGGGCTTGCTCTTTTCTCAGAGTGCCAGAGATCACTGACAGCTGGCCTCTTTCCAGGGTCCCTTGTCATAGGACTGTGCAGGCAGACTCTAGAGATGTGCAGTTCCAGGTTCTGCTCCAGGCCACTGCAGTGGACCGGATGCTGAGTCAGAGCGAGTTACAGTGCATTGCTTCCACCAGAAGTTGTGCTTTCACTAGCCTCTGGTCTAATTAGTAACAGCATGAAAAGTTTTGCAATAGTGTGAGAATGACCAAAATGGGACACAGGAACGTGATGAGCACAGCTGGTGGACAGATGGCAACGGTGGCCTTGCTCGATGCCAGGGGGCACCAGACCCTCAGTGTGTAAACCTGCAGTCTGTGAAGTGCAGTAAATGAGGTCTGCCTGTAGAGCTAAAGTGAGAGGGGCGGTTTTATTTCATGACGTAAATTAGGGCAGCGATTCATTCAGGACAGCACGTTTTCAACTGTTCTGTGCAGAAACGATCCGGGACTATCCAACTTACAGAAAATCGTGTTTCCACATCAATTGAGCCCTGTCTGATCTCTTACTAACCCCAAGGAGCAGGCCTGCCCCAGGACAAGTCCCACCTCATCATGGTGAGGAGGAAGGTGACTGGCCTGCCCCTTGGTCTCTTTAGTACATCATGGACTTGACCTTCAACCAAGCGGCCAAGGGCGTCAACAAGGAGTTTACCGTGAACATCACTGACACGTGTGAGCGCTGTGATGGCAAAGGGAACGAGCCTGGCACCAAGGTGCAGCACTGCCACTACTGCGGCGGCTCCGGCATGGTAAGCGGGGCTGGGGCGTCTACCTGTGCATGTCCTGCGGTGTCTGGACCTTCTTCACCAGTGTCTGGGCTCTGAGTGGTCCTCTTTCATCCAGAACCATCTGGACTCTTGAGGAGAGCTCTGTATATACACAGCAAGGAAAATCTGGTGGGGGCAGTTTGTGGTTTGATGGCTGGAAAGAACTCAGGTTTGCTGTTAGTTGGCCCTGGTCTCTTCCCCCTCTGGGGGTAATTTTTTTTCTTGGTAGCATTTAATTGCTGGGAGAAGCCTACAGTGCTCCCTTAGACCTTCCACCCAGGTGCACCAGTTGTTCTGTCATTTCTGCTCCGCTCCTTACCCTGGCGCTTGTTGGTGGAGACCCTGTGGAGCCCAGTTCTACGCTGAGGTGCACTGAGTTGCTGTAAGCCACTCGCTTGCACCTTTGGTTTCGTTTCCAGGTACTTCAGGGTGTATGGCTGTGAGCTAGAACCTCCTCTCACTTGACTACAGTACACTGGTGAAAAGTCAGGATGTTTCCTGTTGACGCACTGGCGTCATCTCAGTGAAATTTAAAGTTATCCTTACGATGGTTTTCACAGCTGTTTCGCCTCTAATCCAGGACCAACGTTTCATTTAGTGATCACGTCTTCACTCGCCTCACCTGGAACCCTTCCTATGCCTGCTTTTTTCTCTCATGACCCTGGTGGTTTTGAAAATTACAGACCAGATGTTTAATTGATTTGAGGGAAGCAGTATTAACCTTTAATTCTCTGAACTCATGACCTGTGAACACAGTTGGCTAGCTCTCACATCTTGTAAAACTGTCTGGGTGTTTTTTCATAGCAGGACAGGTCTTCCACTCAGGGCAGCCAGTGAAGTAGAACCGCTTCTAAGAGGAGCCTGGCGCTATGCCTCCTGAGGCCAGGGGTGAACCACCCCTGCCCATCAGGTGTGACATAGGCATTCCTGCCCCCACAGAATCCTCAGAGAATTCTGGTCACAGAAAGCTCACATCTCCATCACAAAGTCCCCTGGCCCACTGTAGACTTCCCTAAACTTCTGTCTTCAAGTTGACTTCCTTTCCTCTCCCCATCTCACCCCAGCCATTTCTAACTGTCTGGCTCTGGGGGAGCTCAGCTGCTATGGAGCCGGCCCCCCACTCATGTCACTCCCCCGAAGACCAGGAAAAATGCTACCTGGGGTGGGACCGGGTGTTTTGCTGATTCTCGGCAGTGGACTGCCAGGCCTTTCTTCTAAGGGCAGTTAGCTGCCTTGTAGGATGTGTCGTCCTCCCCCTACACACTTGGGTTCATCTGGTATTTTTTCTAATAGGGTTCAGTCCTTGCGTGATTAGCAGAAACACCATAGAGGTGGTGCTCAGCCTTCCCAGTGTACCCTGGGAGTCACAGGATGCCAGTGTGTTCATCACCGTGCTGCTGGACAGGTGCTTGTGGTCATATGAAGGCAGTGCCCAGCAGGCTTTTCCATCATCAAAATTCCCGTTCCTCTCTCTGAACCCCAGGGTCATTTGTGGGGCGATGGCGTGATTTTCTAGAGGTCGCTTTCCCTCCCCAGAGTGTAGCATCCATTGATCATTCTAGCTTAAATCAATGATTAATGTGATGGCTGCAAAATGGTGACTCCCCTCCCCCCAATCCTAGCATCCCTTCTACATTTCACAGTTGGCGTTCAGCTGACAGAAAAGACTTCTCCCTTCTTGGCCATTCTCTCCTTCCTCCGTTTCTGTCAGCAAGAGCACATGGGGTCTTCTTCCCATCACTGGGCTGTCAGCAGTGTGGTGGCTTTCTCTGATGTTCAGAGCATCCCTGATCCAGCCAGTGGAAGTCCCTTCAGGCTGGCCCTGTGTTTTTATGACAAGGTCCCATTTTCTCCTCAGTGCTTGCTACTTTCTAACCAAAAAAAGTTGATTTAGGCTCAACTGACACTTTCACCACCCCCAGCCATGGAATCGGTCATTGCTCCAAGGGACCCTAATTCTTAGTGTCGAGTGGTCATTAGAAACCAAGAATTGTGCTATGGGTGTGCTCATTACTATGGGTATGGTAGTGCTTCTAAGCCCTCTCTCCAGACCAGGAAATAAAAGCACGTGTGTTTGTGTATATACTTGTATAGGAACACATACAGATATCTGTATCTCCATAAGTATTAACATCTATAGATATAGATACACACACAAACACCTATATATCTACGTAAGAGGGAACCCTAGTGGTATAGTGGGTTATAGATACGGGTCTCTATGGCTTGGCTGCAGTTAGGAACCCAGTTACTACCGTTGATAGATTGCTTTTGGCTCGGCTCACCTCACCTCACTTCCATTGGATCAGGCTCAGCCAACAGATACCAGCCTGGGGCAGGAGCAGGTGGGCATCTGGTGTTCATTGTTCCCTTTGGATCTGTATTTTCCTAACTCTCACTTTTGGCATTCCAAGAAAAACTCATTGCTGTCTGGTTGATGCTGACTCATAGCAGCCCTACAGGACAGGGTAGAGCTGCCCCTGTGGGTTTCTGAGACTTTACAGGAGTAGAAAGTCCTCTCTATAAGTGACTGGTGGTTTTGAACTGCAGACCTTGTGGGTGTCAGCCCAACATGTAACCACTATGACACCAAGGCGCCTTACTTTTGGCATTAGAGGGGAGTAATCCTAAAATGCCACGGTTGCTTAGCTCTAGGAAGTCCCAGGAGTCCCTGCAGCAGGAGACATATCTGCTGTGAATTGACCTCCTGCGCCTCCCAGACCCTTAAGCCCCTCCTCTCTTTTGTCTGTCAGGAAACCATAAACACGGGCCCATTTGTGATGCGCTCCACCTGCCGGCGGTGCGGCGGCCGAGGTTCCCTCATCACAACCCCATGTGTAGTCTGCCGAGGGACAGGGCAGGCCAAGCAGAAGAAGAGAGTGGTGATTCCAGTGCCTGCTGGTGGGTCCTGCTAACTGTGTGCATGGGGTGGGAAGGGAAGGTGGAACTGGACCCATGGTGCATTTTGCTTACCCTGTCTGCACCATGTTGGGGGACAGATGCCCTGCTGTGCCCCTGCCACTCTGATCTTCACCACCCACCATCCTGTTCCAGGAAGATCAACACCCTCTCCCCCATCCTCCCCTCATCACTCCCCCTGGCTCCCTGCTCCTGTCGACTTCATGCTGGAGCCCTGGAGGAAGATCCCTTCACACATGTTGCTCCCTGGGTTTGCAGCTCATTGCCGATCCCCAGGGAGGAGCCCCATCAGCCTGCCTATAGGAATGAGGCCTTGCACATGCTCAACTGTTTATCTGTGATCAGGCTGCCTTACAACCGGCTCCTCTACTAGACTATACCCACCCTGCATGGTCTGGCCGCACCCAGAAAATTTGGTCCAGTGAGCAAAATTGCTCTGGTTGGTTCCTGATGGGGTAGGGTGAACCTCTAGGGGTTAGATAGGTTGTCTCCTGGCCCCTCATCACCAGGCAACAGGAGTGGGCTGGGCAACCCGGGCTGGAGCTGGGCTGGGAACACCCTGAGAAGCCAGGGGGTGAGGTCCTGACTAAGTGCTATTCTTCCCTGCAGGCGTTGAGGATGGCCAGACTGTGAGGATGCCAGTGGGAAAAAGAGAGATCTTTGTCACCTTCCGGGTAGGTGTCCCATGTCCTCGTCACCTCATGGGGTGGCAGGGGTACAGGTGGGGACTCCATGGGGGCAGGGCTCGCCTCTTGGGCTTCCTCTTCAGAGACATGGGGCAGACTCACTGTAGGGCACCTTTTCCTGGTGTTCCTGACAATTGACACCCCTCAGTTGCTGATGGGGATAGAAGTGTGGAAGAGTAGCTGTTTTATACATAGAGTAGATTTGAAGGCGAACTGTGACCTTAGTGTTGTGAAAGCCTTTGACAGTTTTGAAGAACCCCCCCATTCTTACTTAATGGAAGCCCATGTGGGTGCACCAGGGGCACATTTGGGAACACACGTGTGCATACGGCCCCTCACTGCCCTGTAAGAAAAGGGCGACAGAGCACTTGGAGCTGTGGTCATGCAGAAGGCTCCCGAGGAGTCAGAAGGGACGGAACCACAGGTGTTCACAGACTGGGTCACAGTCAGCAGCAGGGAGAGCAGTGGCTCGAGGACATGGGTCACGGTGTGTTGCAGGCAAAGGGTTCGTGGAAGATTCCATTCTCTCTTCATTCCTCACCCCACCAAGTCTGCAGCCTCCTCGTGGGTGGTAAGCTTAAGAAGATGCTCACAGGAGTGACAAACTGAGCCCAGGACCCAGGAGGGATCTCCAGTGTCTGGACCTTTGTTTATTTTTGACTCTAACTGTGTGGTGGCCGCACTTTGCATGTTGACATGTGAGACCCTCTGTAGCTGAAAGCAGAGGCAACAGAAATGCAAAGCATGAGCCCAGTAGACGGAACTGCCCACAATGAAGGCAGGACGCAGGTTGTCTCCACTGCAGAATGCCGCTCAGAAAAGGGAAGTGACTGCTGCTGGGCCCTCGCCTCAGTCACGTGTATGAGCTGTAGCCAGTGTGTTGGTCCATCTCTTTGAAGGCCTTCCTCTTTTCCGCTGCCTCTGTGCTTTACCAAGTATCATGTCCTCCAGGAACTGGTCACTTCTGACAGCATGTGCAAAGTACTTGAGACGAATCCTTGCCATCTTTGCTGCTTTTAAGGGTCACTACCTGGCAGAGAGACACACACAGTCAACTGCTAGTGCCCACTGTCTGTCCAGTGACCACCGGGGACAATGTCAGCCCCATCATCTCCATAGATGTGTCAGTCTGTTGTTTTTAGCAAAGTATGATTTTAGTGTTCCGAAAGCCAATTTTGCTTTCTCCTCTTCTCCATAATTCTCCACGACTAAGTGTATTCACAAGGCCTGACCCTTCCTGTTGCAGTATTTTAGGTGGGCAGACTTTCCTTGACTGTCAACACAGCTCCCTCCTTCCCTCCCTCCCTCTGCCTGCACATTGAGGCTTGTGGGGAGCTCGAGGGGCTGAGGGGTTGTCTGCCATGGTGACAGACAGTCACCTCTCTGGTCTGTGACTCCAGGTGCAGAAAAGCCCCGTGTTCAGGAGAGACGGCGCAGACATCCATTCAGACCTCTTCATCTCCGTGGCCCAGGCCCTCTTGGGGGGCACGGCCCGAGCTCAGGGCCTGTACGAGACCATCAATGTGACGGTGAGTGTGGGGTCTCGGCCCTGGGGTGGGTGAGGGCTGTGGAGAGTCCTGGGAGGTGTACCACACCCCCAAGATCTTAGTCAGTCACAGGTATGCCCAAGGGTGGACACAGTCTACTCTGTCCTGCCCACCTTTGACGTCAACAGCAGCAACACTTCTGGCCCCCAACTCATCCCATTCCCTAGCTGTGCTTCTTGGGGCTGTTTCTGGTGTCTCAGGAGCCATATGAGGGGCAGGGGGTGCTGGAAAACCTCCTTCTGTGTCAGCAGCTCCCCCCTCAGCTGGGCTGCGCCCTCCTGTCCTCACCCCCTATCCTCACCTCCTGAGACTGCTGGCTCCCAGTGCTGACTGCAGGCCCTTCTTGGCGGGCTTCCTGGCTTAGCCAGGTCCACCCTCTAGAGAAGTGGGCTAGACGACCTCCTGTGGGAGGGCTTGGTATAGGAGAGCCATGATGTCTTCTGTCCATCTTCTGCAGATCCCCCCGGGGACCCAGACTGACCAGAAGATCCGGATGGGTGGAAAAGGCATCCCCCGGATCAATAGCTATGGCTACGGTGACCACTACATCCACATCAAGATCCGAATTCCAAAGTAAGCGCCATGTGCCGAGTGTCAGCAGGAGCTGTGTCTCCTCAGTCCTGGCTTCCCACCATCTCGGGCGCTCCTTGGCTTCTCACTGTGGGCAGGGACTTCCTGCTTGGGTCCTGCCTTTACAGTGACCTCATAAGAAGAGTGGCAGCCTGGTGGGGTTGGTACTGGGTGCCTTTGAGTTGACAGAGCCTTGACACGGCATCACGTGTGCTGCCTTGTAACTATGAATGCACACTGTAGGATCTCTACGGACTGAGTTTGGGGAGTAGATTGCCACATGTTTCTTTCAGGGTACCTTCAGGTGGACTTGAATCTCCGAACTTTCAGTCACTGAGCGTGTTAACCCTTTGTACTGCCAGAGACTCAGCCAGTCCTTGAGCCCACCGCCAAGGAGTCAACTCTGACTCCGGGCAACTTTACAGGACAGCACAAGTGCCCTCCAGGGTTCCTGCTGCCTTCCCGGGAGGTTAAGTGAGCAGCACTCCGGGACAGCTGCTGCAGAGCACCATTGTGGCCATGGTGCCTGCTTTCGAGGGTCCGTGCTGGTTGGGAGAGGCCAAGGCCTGAACAGATCGTGACATGTGGTGGCACGTCCCCAGGGGCCAGGCACCAGCACCTGCCTCCCTTGAGCGGGCTCGCCTGAGAGCCCTCGCCTTTTAATTAGATTAGATAATCTCTTAGCTGCTTTATACACATGCATGTGTGCACACATAAAACCGTTATTCTCTGTGGTACAGCTGTATCTAGTGTAGCCGAGCAAGGCATGGCAGCCAGAATAGTGGCAGACAAGGTGGGAGCTTCTGGGGGTTTCCTTCCTTCACCTCTGGCTCAAGGCTTGTGCTTCCAGCTCCTCTGCCCAGAGTCACATGCAAGCTTGTGGGGGGCTAGCCGCCCTGGGGTTGCTGGAGGAAGGCCTTACCGCCGACTCTGCTTGGTCTACAGGAGGCTGACGAGCCGGCAGCAGGGCCTGATCCTGAGCTATGCCGAGGATGAGACGGACGTGGAAGGGACGGTGAACGGTGTCACCAACACCAGCACTGGTAAGACGGTACTCAGGAGGGTGGGACATGGTGAAGCTTGGACAGAGGGGCTGGGGGCTAGGCCCCCTCCTTGCTGTCTGCATGTGAGTGGGTCAAGGAAAGAGCACTGGGGCCTTCCCCAGCTGTTTGCCCTGAGAGCTGGTGTTCTGAGCTCTACCTATCCTTGATTCTGCCTCCTGTCCCTGGGCACTCTGAGAAGGAGCTCCTCATCAAAGCCTAAGGCCAGGTGGGATGAAAAGACCCCAAGTCCTCACCCAGAGTGCCACGCAAGTGTATGCCTGGGGCAGGAGCACAGCAGACTCCGAGGCTGGTGGGCACTAAACTGGGGCATTGCTTACTCTGAACTGGAACTCACCACGGCAGCCCCGCTTCCAGTGGGACATTGGCTCTGACTTAGCTCCATGTCTTACCCGGCAGCAGTGTTTTTCCCAAGTATTGGATGCTGCCTGCCCGAGCTGAGAGTCAGTAGATTAGCAAAGGTCAGGCAGAGCAGAGGTTGTGAGCTGGGCCAGCTTCCCGGTGAAGAGAAAGGGTGGCCAGGAAGCCAGGTGTGAGGGTGGGCTTCACTGCAGCAGCCTCCTCACAGATGGGCAGTGTCATTCCATGGTTGCCGTCTAATGAAAATTTCAGGTGGGGGAGGGAGTGTATTTCGATTCCCAGCCAGAATTTGAAAAAAAAAAGCAGACACTGAACTGCCTTTATTTTAAGCACTTATGAAAACTCATGAGCTAGAGTTACACAAGAAGCCATTTGCATTCACCTGCCATGCACGGGCTCTTGGGATAGAGGTGCATGAGGGTCAGGTTGTAATAAACTCAGAACACCAGAGGGAGAGCCGCTTAGCACCCATACGAGCCATTTGAAGACGCAGATTATCTGTCCCACCCACCCACCACAGCCTATTGAGTGCTAAGGTGCATTTGGGATGTATGTGGTACAGTGGACAGCCACCCCACCCCACCCCACCCCTTTGCCAGAACTGTGGAGTCTAAGAGCTTGCAGCCATGGCCAGGTGCTGCTCCCCACTAGCCCTGGGTAGAGGCCCTGCTTTTCCTCTGCTCACCACTTCCCACAGCGTTACCCTCTTCTTGCCTTTTCTACTGACCACCTGCCCCTTCACTGCCTCCTGAATGGCTACTCATTTGCTGTCCCTTGCATATTGCAAAGGGCACTCCTGGCCTGACCACAGTCTGTGTGGGCCCCAGACCATTAGATTCATGGCTTGAGAATTTTTTCAGAGTTGTCATAAATGTAAAATGTCAGGTAAGATAGTCAGAAAGTGAGGAGTAGGTGTGTGGACAGTTACACTAAAGACAGCTGGCCTAAAGATTTTGATGGGCTAAGTAGCTCTTTTTACCTTTGTTTCTTTTTGAGTATTTTATTTATAAATGTACATTTACTAGAACAGCTGTTGCATTTTAGACAACGTTTCATTTACGATTTCTCAGAGGCATTTTAGAATAAATACTGTAAATGAAGGTTAGTTCAACTAATGAAGAAATTGGCCTTGTATCCTTGGTCTTGAATGCAGCTGCTAAAAATCTTAAAACTGGCCCCGGGCTCTGCCCCGGTCTTGGGAGGTGTGACTTGGGAGGACCAAGTGTGTTAGGGGACTCAGTGATCCCAGGTAGGCAAATGTATCTTTTAGGAATCTGAGGGGCAGCTTGAAGCCATTCCTCACCTTTAACATTTTAAGTAATTTATTTTATTTTTGTTGGGGAAAGTGCGCATGGCAGAACATAGACAGTTCATGACCTGCGTTCAATAACTAAAGAACACGGATTCCACTCTTCGAGGTGTGCATCGTTGTCACCTTCCCGAGTTGCTGCTTCCCCCACTGACACAGTGCCCTGAGGGTCCTTTCCAACCTTTGACTTGCCATTGTCACTTTGATCCCATCTAGATAGATCACCATGTTCAAGGCACACATTCTTTACTAGTTGTGTTAAGCTGTGGTTTGGTTAGGAGTCCTGGTGGCATAGTAGATATTCATGGGGCTGCTCATCGCAAGGTCACCAGTTCGAAACCACCAGCCTCTGCCATGGAGAAAGCGGAAGTTTTCGATTCCTGTAAAGAGTTACGTCTTAGAAATATACAGGGGCAGTTCTACCCTGTCCTATAAGGTCTCTCTGGGTCAGAATGGACTCATCGGTAACGAGTTTGGTTTGAAGAAGACACCAGAGCATCTCCTTACCTTTTGAGTTAGGTACACAGTGTGACTCGTTGATTGTGTTCCTGGACCAGCATGAATTCTCACAGAAACAACTGTGCATGGTTGGCCATAAGTAGACACTTGGGCCACAGTTCCTCATAAAGTGGTTTAGGCATTAAACATGCTGTTTGTCTTCTCTGACGTGGCCAAGAGATTTACCATGTACCTGCTTCATGCAGGGTGGAGGCACAGAGACAGTCCGGGAGATGTTGCAGTAGAGTGAGAGGCAGCCCTGGACCCTGCTAGGTCAACCTGATTTAGACCTGCACCTTTCCTGTGGGATGGATCCCGTCCTCAAAGTCAGATCCGTAGGTCTGCCTCATTTAGGCAAGTGTTCACTTAGCATCTACCATGTACTAGAACGGATGTGCAAAGACACAGGGTCCCTGCCCTTATCAGGCTTTCAAGACACTGTAAGAGACGGGATAGGTACAGAAGGCAATCCCTAAATAAGGGCTTAACCCCTCTGAGGACACTCAAACTCACTGCCATTCAGTGAGTGCCACCCTGCAGGGCAGGATAGAACTGTCCCTGTGAGTTTCCGAGACTGTTACTTTACAGGAGTAGAAAGCGCTGTCTTTTTCCCTTGGAGAAACTAGTGATTTCAAACTGTTAACCTTGCAGATTGTACCCCAATAAGTAACTACTGTGCCACTAAGATTTCTTTCTTATAACACTAGGAGTTGTGTAACCATCAGAAAGCACTTTGGCCTTAAAAGATGATAGGCCTCTGGAGGCAAATACTGCCTGGTTATAACCCCTGCCATGGAACAGCCACCAGACAGTGCCCAAGGAAATGTGCTGCTCCTGTGAGCCTGGATTGTGATTCAAGCAAAATGAAATTTTTGATGACTTCAATTTTTCTCTCTGCTTATCATCTTGTTGTCTGTTGGTCGAGTTGTGAGGATTTTTGTTTTCTTTACACTGAGTTGTAGCCCATGATGAAGGCTCAGCCTTTGATTTCATCAGCAAATACTACTTATATCAAAAGCCCAGATTATAAGCCAGGAACAAGAAGCCGTTTTTCTTAGAAAAGAACTGAGGTTTTAGGTTGTGCTATGGAAAATGTCAAGCATGGTACTCTTGATAAAAAAAACAGAAGTATAGACCAGAGAGCACTCGAGACAAAATGAAACAAAACACTTACATAAACTCATGGGTTTATGAGACCAGCTCAAAGAGGAAACTTATGAGAAACCACTAATTCTCAGATGGCACTGATTCAATTTAAGTGGAGGAAAAAACAGGGCCTGCATAAGCTACATTTATTTGCTAGAGTCTCTAATGAAAGGATTGTGTTTAGACTTTTTCATGAAAACTGAGCATTAACCCAGAAGTTATCTAAGAAGGACATTGGAAACGTAAAGCGGAGAGAAAAAGAACCGGTGGAAACTCATTTTTCCTAAAGTGATCATTGAACTTCTAAATTACTTTTACTATACTTCATGTACAGTGTCTTGAACATGAACCTCAAATTAGTATGCTGGATGTGAGGGTGGTGGTGGCAATCTTAGTCTTATTTATCAGGGATTTTGTAAAAGTACAGTTATCAGCATATTCTAGAGGGAGTTTCGTAAGGTCTCTTGAGGCCACTCAACAGCTGTCTTGAAGAGCGTATAATTCTGCTCCAGGGGTTCTCAATGCACCAGAAGGTATTATCTGGGAGTCTGAATTTCCCCAATCCATGAATTTCCTAGTTTTTGTTTCTTTATGGCTTAAATCAGATCTTTTTAGAGATTTCCCTTTGCCCGATTTTCTTACAGCCTAGTCTCTATAAATCAGGAAGTCCACACTGGAAAACTTCAACAAGAATCTTAAATTCTTCATGATAACAGGCATTGCTGTTTAATCAGCTTTAAACTACTTACAAACATACAGACTGACCAAAATAGGAACCAAAGTGGCTACCGATTTGACAAACTATTGTGAAGAAGCTCAAACAAAGATCGAAATACAAACAAGGCGTAGTGCATATTTCTTTTCTTTTTACCCCCCATCATTTTATTGGGGGCTCATACAACTCTTATCACAATCCATCCACCCATCCATTGTGTCAAGCACATTTGTACATTTGTTGCCATCATCATTTTCAAAACATTTTCTTTCTACGTGAGCCCTTAGTATCAGCTTCTCATTTTTCCTCTTTCTCCCCAACCCTCCCTCCCTCATGAACCCTTGATAATTTATAAATTATTATTTCTTCATGTCTTACACTGACCGATGTCTCCCTTCACCCACTTTTCTGTTGTCCATCCCCCTGGGAAGGGCTTATAGGTAGATCATTTTGATTGGTTCCCCCTATCTCCCTGGACCTTCCCCTTCCCCTCCTGGTATGACTACTTTCAATATTGGTCCTGAGGGATTTATCTGTCTTGGATTCCCTGTGTTTCCAACTCTTATCTGTACCTGTGTACATGCTCTGGTTCAACCAGATTTGTAAGGTAGAATTGGGGTCATGATAGTGGTGGGGAGGAAGCATTAAAGGACTAGAGGAAAGTTGTATGTTTCATCAGTGCTATACTGCACCCTGGCTGGCTCATTCCTTCCTGCGATCTTTCTGTAAGGGGATGTCCAGTTGCCTACAGATGGGCTTTGGGTCCCCACTCCGCACTCCCCCTTATTCACAATGATATGATTTTTTGTTCTGGGTTTTTGATGCCTGATACCTGATCCTATCGATACCTCATGATCACACAGGCTGGTGTGCTTCTTCCATGTGGGCTTTGTTGCTTCTGAGCTAGATGGCCACTTGTTTATATTCAAGTCTTTAAGATCCCAGACGCTGTACCTTTTGATAGCCGGCACCATCAGCTTTCTTCACCACATTTGCTTATGTACCCTCTTGGTCATCAGCGATCGTGTTGGGAAAGTGAGTATCATGGAATGCCAGATTAATAGAACAAAGTATTCTTGTGTTGAGGGAGTACTTGAGTAGAGGCCCAGTGTCCATCTGCTACCTTAATACTAAACCTATAAATATATGTATATACATCTATTTCCCCATCATCATATATAAATGATTGTATTTAGACCTCTGTAAATGCCCTTTGCCTCCTAGTTCTTTCCTCTATTTCCTTTTACTTTCCTTTTGTCCCGCTCTCATGCTCAGTCTTCATTTGGGTTTCAGTAACTCCTCTCGCCCCTGATCAAGCCCTACTAGGCCTCAAGACCCAGCACAGAGTTCTTAGCCAAAATTCCACTAGGAAAGTCAGCTGCTGTTTCAGGCTTAGCATAACCCATATTGAGACAGTTATAAGAAACAAACTGTCAATACATAAAAATTTTTGACATAGAGCAGAGCTTAATTTGAGAAGTTACTTACTTTAGGATGACTCCTGAAGTCTACAGGCAGAGAGCTTAAGTGGAGCCTGGATTCTTGTCACTTTGTGGGTTGTAGAAAGTAACGCACTTCCAAATCCCACTTCTGATACCAAATATGCCAAAGTGTTAAAAATAACAAAAACTCTGTAAGGAGAGAAATGATGGGTTTTTCTTGAGGATTTGTTTGTATACTTAGTAAAATGCTCTGAAACCTGAAAGGAATTCTTATATCAGAAAGGTGAGGGTTATATGAGTAAAAGGTGAACGTTCTCAATGTCTATCCATTGTAGACTTTCTGGGGATAAACTTATGCAATTTTCTTAGAACATTTTTACATAAATATCTTTTGGGGGAACATTTTTGATTCTCTTTTCCAGAGCATTTTAAAAATAATTTCCTTAGTTGTAAACTATAACTTTATTTATAAGCATCCTTTTGAGAACAGAACGTTTATTATCATAGTCTTAAGTAAACATGACTACATCGTCAGTCATTTAAGATGTGTGCACACACACTTATATTTATTCCCAAAACAAAAGCAGGGATTTAAAGGCACAAAGGGTGTTTGATTTGGATATCTGGGCCTCAGTTTTCATGCCAGTTTTAAAGTGCCCTTACACAGAACATCTGGAGGTGGTTGGATGTGGGAGGCTTGGCAGAGTGCGCTGCTGAGTTGTAGGTGTGAGCGCACACACTGGACGGCTGCAGTTTGGGCGGCACGGGGATTCTCACTGGTCTGGAGAGTGGAATCTAGTTGGTTGGCCAAGAAATTGGATCATCTCTTTGCTATCTCCCTTCTTAAAGCCAGTAGCCCAGTGATGGTTAAGGGTTCAGCTTGGGTGTCCGGCTGCTTGGATTCGAGCTCAGGCTGTTGAGTAGATGCTAACTCCTGTGTTCTGTTGTTATGTGCCCCTGGGTCAATGCCAACTCTTATCAACCCCATGTGAGAGTAGAACTGCCCCATGGAGTTTTTTAGACTATAATCTTTACAGATGGAGATCGTGAAGTTCTCCCTCTGTGACCTGGAGTGAACTACCTGGCCTCTCTGTAAACCTCACCAATCAGATTACCCTAAGGATTGTGTGAGCTAACCTGTAAGCTGTTTGGTCCTCTGTGAGCCCTCTTGGCCGTTGGCTAAATAAGCGGGCTTCAAAAAGGTTGTGGGACAATTCTATTTCAGTCCCATTTTTTCATGAGGCCTCCACATCCCCATCATATCATGTGATTGTTGGTGAGAACAAGAACCAGCTGCAAGTAGCTGGTTCTCTGTGGTGGTGCCTGGCAAAGCCCTAGGAGTAAACACGGGTTCTGAGCGGCTTCTTGGTCTTGACAAGTCAGGTAGCCTCTGCCGACTGGAGGCAGTCCCTTACCCTTTTCTGATGGGGCTTGGTGGTTCCCTGGGAGGCTAGCCTTGGTTGGGACCGGCGGGGACCAGGGTGTGCTCCCTTTGCCTCTGACCCTGGTTCTCTCTACTGTTTGTGCCCAGGTGGCAGCCCCACAGGAGGCGAGGCTAGGCAGGACAAGGAGGGATTCCTTTCCAAACTTAAGAAAATGTTTACCTCCTGATAGCCCAGCTGAGGTAGGAAAACCCCTGAGGTTTTGTTTTGTTTTGTTCTTTTGTTTCCCTTCTAATGACCTCCTTTCTCTCACTCACTGTCCTAAGTGTCAGCCCTTACACCCACCTACCCCCAACCACCCAGGAACCGGATGCAGTGCTGTGTAAGGAGCTGTCAAGTTGGGAGTAGGCCTGTTGAGGCTTTTGCATTTGGAGAATGGAGGCAGGGCGGCCAGACTTTCAGGGCTGGCTTTTGGAGAGACTGTGTTTGAGCGGGGCCCGGATGGAGCCAGGCTGCTCACAGCCACCAAGGACCTAAAGGCCGCGGAGCCAGGTCTACAACTCAGAGTGCCTGGGTTTCCTGCCAGCCCGAGCACAGTGCTTTGCCCACTGTCACTTCCTGCTTGCCCCTGATGAGGGGTTCTCAATCCTTTCCTGCTCTCAGGGATTAGTGAAAGTGCACCCACAGCAGTGTGCTCCTGACATGTAACTGTCTCTTCTGGCAGGAAAACGGTCCACTGGGAACTAATCTGGACATGGCTGCTGCTCCTCGTGGCCTGGATGAGGTCCTGGACCAGCTCCGTTGCAGCAAGATCGCCACAGCGCCTCCCCAAGCCAGGGACGCTCTGCATGGGCCCCGGGCTGTAAGATGTAGAACCTTAGGGTGATAGCCGTTTCCTGTCCACAGTGTTTGGTTCAGGGCAGCGTGAGACAGAGCACCAACTCTGGGCTAAAGGGGTGGAGGTCTTAAGTGAAGAATTAAAGGCTGCGTTCACAGCTTAAAGACCAACCCTGAGCTGCACCGAGTCTTGAGTGGATTGGTTTTTCTCTCAGCAAACTTCTGGGATGTCCCCTGACAAACCTTCCCCAGAAGCTGTCCTGCATGCCCTCAGCCTCTCACCCCCACCCACAGGTTCGGCTGGGTGACACACGCCCCTCTTGCGGTTTGTCTTTAATTCCCAAAGGTACCCAGCAGCTTGAAAGTGGAGGCTCAGCAAGACCCAGGGGCTCAGGAACTCTCACTTCCAACCAGAGGGCCAATAGACATCCCTCCTCAACCCATGATGTCCCCAGTCTGCCTTTTGGTTCAGGCAAGAGTGCGTGTGCGGGCCGCCCCTCCTCTTGGTCACAGCCTGCCACCCGCTGCACTGGTCGGGCCCAGTTTTGTGGCCTCCCTAATGCTGACCAGCTTCTGCCCGTCAGGGTCTCACCACTGCTGCTGTCTGCTCTCAGGAGAGTCTCAGTTCTCGGGCAAAGACTCACTCTCTTCTCCCGTAAAAAGGTTGCTCAGGACAGGGCAGCACAATGTAGGCAAGCCCTGCAGTGCCCAGCCGAACACACCGTCCCCACCACCCCAACTCTGCCGGACACTGCAGCCACGTGTCTCAGACCCCCACACTACTGCCTGATGAGTTAATGAAGAACGTTTCCGAACCGTTTCCTTTCTCTTCCTCTTCATTCATGAAAACCCAGCATTTACTAGTATGATTGAAGAATGTAAAATGAATCTGTATCAATGTAAATATAAGATAATCTACTGCAAAAGATATTTAAAACCTAAAATTGTGGTCATTTCTTCCTTGATAGGGTTTGGACAACTTCTGCCAGTGGCTTAGGCCGGGGTGGAGGGGGGGTGTTGTGTGACTGACATTTGCCACTGGGGTCACCTCCATCTGCCTTCTCCAGCAAGCCAGTCAGCCTCATGGTCGGGCTGTCACTCAATTTCTCCCCTCCATCACTTGGCCTTTTTTGGGGGGTGGGGGCCAGCAGAGACAGCTTCTCCCAGAAGCCCTAGTAACTTGCCCAGTGAGCACACAGTTCAGGTGTCTGGGCCCAGCAGATCAGGAGGCAGGAGCTGGATCGGATGAGAAGAGTCTTGGAATGAGTGTCAGTGGACTAAAAAGACTCCCCAGGCACCCTGCTGTTCTCAGACAGGATGGCCCTGAGTTACGAGTGAGACCCGTTCTTGATTGGTCTTTGAAGAACTTGTAGTCATAATAGGCGTAAAGGGCCCATGTTTAGCCTTTCTTTATGCAAGAGAAGGCAATTGTGGTGGAGAATTTATTGCAAGCAGAGGTCAGTTCCGTTATTTCAAAGCAAGGGCAGGTGTACATAGCATTTGAGGGCAAGTAGGGATTGTCCATAAGTTGGATATTCATAACCCAGGCCGGCCTGTACCCTCATTCCTGCAACAAATCTTTGAAAGGTACTGGTCCAGATCGTGGGGCCCTCCACTCAGATTAACTTAGGTTTTGTTCCCTGAGAAGTCCACCTAGAGAGAGGGGTGGGTAGTGGTCCCTGGACTGACCTTCCCTCACATGACCAGAAAGTGGCAGCCCAACTGCTGTGGCGCTGAAGTCCACCTCCAGTCTCGGTTGGGGTGGTTTCTTCCAGGGCTGGCCCTGCGACGTGTCTTCTAGACCACCGTGGATTTTGGAGCTCGGACTGCAGTGTGACGTGGAGGGTGTGAATGGAAAAAGATCACTCGGGAGATGGACCTCCACCTGAGAGTCGCAGGTGCTCCGTGCAGGTCTGAGACCCCTGCCTGCAGACCACCTCAACGACCTGGTCACAGTGATTGATAAGGCAGCGTGGTTCCACCCGTAGGTGTAGGGGTTTCCGTCTCCCAGGGCCTACTAGCTGACCTCTTTCTGACTCAACTGCACTTAGCACCCCTCCTCGCCCATTTGTCCTGACCTGTCCCCTCAGTTCTCAAGTGCTTTTGTTCCTCAGAGGGTCTTTGTGCTCTGTCTCCCACCTGGTGGTCAGTCACCCTCTACTGTGGGTCCCTTGTCGGGGCTGGGCATGGAGGTGGAAGGGCACGCGTGCTCACCACTGAGGTGTGTCGGCCAGGGAGACTTACCTGGGCTGGTCGCAGTCCAGGGGACAGTTTACAGAGCTGCACATCGAAGGAAGGCGTCTGCCCGGAGACTTGGGCAAATGACCTGGGCTCCATGAGCCTCCGCTGACTGTTGCCAGTTACGGGGAGTTAACAGTGGAACTTCTGTGAACGGTCCACCTACCCGCAGCACACTGCAGGCTAGAGGGACTGCCATTCCATTGCCAGCCCCACCGACCTGGGCGCAGGCAGCACCCCATTCCCTCAATGGGATTAAGGGGTGGTGGTGGTGCGGTGTCCTAGCTTTGCCACTTGCCTCGGCGCTTCCAACTGGTGGCACAGTGGTGCAATGCCGGAAGTTAACACCAGCAGCTCCGAAGGAGAAAGACGGGGCTTGCTTTCTACTTCGGTCAAGAACTATTCTCAGAGACTCACAGGGCAGTTCTACTCTGTCCTATGGGGCTGCTAGGAGTTAGCAACTTGAAGGAAATGAGTTTGCAAAGTAGATGTATGTTTCCAAAGCAAATCAGCATCTTATTCTACCCACGAACATTTCGTTCCGTGTCACTGTAATCCCCTTGGTGTGCACCACCACTCTCCCCTCTCCGTCCTCCTTTCCCATTTCCATCCCCCCTCTCCTGACCCTTCCTACCTTCTGAACCTGGTCTCTGGGCCAATGTTGCCCTTTGATGGAGAACACTTGATCCTAAGATGTGTGCTTCCCGGCCTGTTGTTACAGTTCCCCTTATAGACTCAGCCAAGGCTTCCAACCCATCTTGAAGGTCACCTCTGGGCAGGGCTGCACCAACAAGTGTTGAGGAGAGATGTCTGCTAATTCAATGGCCAGGTGCCCCACCTCACCAGCTTCCTAGTGATGTGTGCAATCCCACCCCTCCACCATCACCACTTCCAGCACCCAGTCTGAGAATTCTGAATACCGTGGAAATGAATCTCCTGGGCCACCGCAGTCTCTGTCACACATTTGACTGAAGCATCGTCACAGGACACCTGGTCCCAATCCCCTTTTATGGTAGGGAAGGGAGAAGATGACGCAACTTACTGGAGGACGTATGAGCTGCCCTCCAGTGAGTCCTGCCCCATTTCGACCCCCGTCCAAGAGAAGGAAACATGGCCAGGGCCGGCGCCAGCCTCACAGTGCTTGTGCTTGAGCCCGTTGCTGCAGCCACTGTGCCCATCTGGCTCTGTGCGGGGCTCCCTCAAACCTTCCATTGGTGTCTTGCTTGCTTTTAATGCCGTCTCCAGCCCGCAGCTGCCACCCCAGACCAAGTCTCAGAAACAAAGCCCCTTTCTCCTAGAACATCTGTAAGAACAATAGCCTTTATTTTTTTAAAAAGAAAAAAATCAGCACACAACAATCCTCTTGACCCTGTGCTCCCCACTCCCCGCCCCCAGGTTTGTCACAGCTGGGAAAAGTCCCCTTTGTGCTGCTCCAGCCACTGGTCCAGGGTCCTGGCCCTGGGGTTGAGTCTCAGGGTCAATCCAATGTTGCGGTCGGGTTTCAGGGCGTAGAAACGGAACATGTTGGCCAGGTCCTGGGCCCCCGGGAAGCCAAGCTTCTCATATTCCTCCGGAGTCGTCTAGAAGTAGAGGGGAGTCGTCTATTCCAGGACCCAGTATGCAGAACCCCAGGTGAGGTGAGGGGGGGTTAGGCTGGGTGGGCATGGAGTCCCCGGCTGCTGCTCCCTGCCAGATCCCACTCTTGGTACCCAGGCCCCCTGTTAACTAACGTTCTCGCCTACCGCTCCTTAGAAAACCCTCCCAGAAGATGGGCGTCTGGACACCACCATTCTCAATGAGCCAGACGCTTTCTTACTCTGAAACCTGTCCCTTCCCTGATGAACGGGAATTCCTTAGCCTCCTGTTCCAACCCTAATGTGGCCATGCCGCCTCCTCTTCTTTTTAAACAGTAAAGCCAAAACCAAACCCGCTACTGCCAAGTCAACTCCTCCTCCTCCTTCTCCTCCTCAGTGACTGAAGAGGACCCCTCCATCGGATATGAGTGAATTGACTGAAGCACAGAGCCTCACATGTACCCCATGGAGGAACAGCTGGTGGGTTTGAACCACTGAGCTTGTGGTTCATTGCCAAGCATTGAACCTACCAAGGCAACCAGGGCTCTGTGTGAACTAAAAATAATACAAGCAAACTCACTGCCATCCAGTCAGCTGATGCCAACTCACAGCAGCCCTGGAGGGCAGAGTTTCCCAGATTAACACTTTACTGGAGTAGAAAGCCTTATCTTTCTCTTGAGGAGCTGCTGGTGATTTTGAACAGTTGACCATGCAGCCCAATGTGTAACTGCGTGGCATAAAGGTTGGTCATCCTGAGCTGACCTTGACCATCATCAGGGCGGGGTGGGGCAGGCTGGTCCCATGGATACTCTCCCCTTAAGGACTTAGGAACAGCTAGCTAAGGCCACTCACCCCCTGGTGGGAATTGGGAGCCCACCCACTCGCTGCCATGGGGGTACCCACCTTGGCATCATGCACAGCCTTGCCGAGATGCTTAGACAGGAGGGCTGCATACTCTGCTGGGGTGTGCCTGCAGGTACTGAGCCCAATGTCCTGGCCAACGTATTCTTCGGGGGCCTTCAGCAAGCTGAGCACCACTGGGCCCAGGTCTGCCACAGCCATGCCGTCCATGGGGATGTCGCCCATGGGGAGGCCTGTGAGGGGAGAGGAGGAGACGGGCACTGCCACATGGGCTGGGCGGCAGTTGCGGCTGGTTTTCCCACCAGGCAGTCAATTCACTGCTGTGGTAGGGCTGAGAGCACCTATCAAGCTGGTGGCAGGGTGGAGAAAATGGTGGCGGGACAGGCCAGGACCCTAGGGTGCAGTCTGCACCCTACCACCTACCAGCTCTACGCTTCAGGCCTGTCGCCCAAATGCACTGAGACTTGGTTACGATGTCCTCGGGCTGGGCACCCATGCCCTGGACTGCCCACCCTATCGGCTGAGCAGAGGGACAGTGGAGAAGAGGCAACAAAAGGCTTTAAAACAGCGGTTCTCAACTTGTGGGCCGCGACCCCTTTGGGGGTTGAACAACCCTTTCACAGGGGTTGCCCAATTCGTAACAGTAGCAAAATGACAGTGATGAAGTAGCAACGAAAATAATTTTATGGCTGGGGGGGTCACCACAACATGAGGAACTGTATGAAAGGGTTACAGCATTAGGAAGGTTGAGAACCATTGCTTTAAAAGTTGCTGCTGAATGAGTGTACAAATGTGCTTTATACAAGTGATGTATGTATGGATTGTGATAAGAGTTGTAAGAGCCCCTAATAAAACAATAAAGTGTTTAAATTTCAAATAAAAAAAAAAGTTCTTAGTAATCATCACCTGTAAAGACAGACAATGCAGTGGAGATCGTCCTACTGACTGACCTCCGCGACCCTTACGATAGGTCAAACCCAATATCTCAAATACTGTATAATGTTAAATACTATCAATTTTATATTTAAATAAATAAATAAATAAAATAGACGTTGCTGCTGATTGGGTTGGATCATAGGCCCTCACCCTGGCATAGTCCGTGCTACATAACTCTAAGGGAGTGTCACAAAGTTAATGGGGGAAATGCAATCATCTTTTAATTGCATTTTCCAGGAGTTTTCTGATGCCTCCTTGTATCTGCTGAATTGAAGAATGATTCGGGACTCCCAGGTGTGGTTCTGTGGATGACGGAGACAGAGGGGTGTCCTGAAGGAAGCCAGATGTGTAACCCAATGGGGACCACTGGCCTTCCATTGCCACACTAATAAGAAGGGTCACTGTGGCTACCCGTTGGGACTGACTAGGGGGCGGTAAGGATGAAGCACCAAGTCAGAGTGGACTGGGGTATGTTTGGGGCCAAAGCCTTGGCCACCATTGAGAGTGGCACCAATGTGCTACCACTAGGCTCTGGCTCTGTTCTCAGAAAGGTAAGACGCTCCCAGACTTACTGGCAACCACAGGTGCATCCACACGTGAGGGCAAGCAGTGTTTCCACAGTGCACGGTGGGCTGGACAAGCCACTGCTCCGGCCACCTCGAGCCTTGCGAGCATCTCACTTTAGACCTATGCAGTCCCCAGGGGTGCAGTGGTTAAGCACTCAGCTGCTAACAGAGAGGTTGATGGTACGAACCCACCAGCCACTTGGGAGAGAGAAAGGTGTGGCAGTCAGATTCCATCAAGACTGCTGTTGTCAGGGGCCGTCGCGTCGGTGCTGATCCACAGCAACCGTGGGCACAACACAACAAAATGCTGTCTGGTCCTGCGCTGTGTTCATAGTGGTTATGGTTGAGCCCGCGGCTGGCAGCCACTGTGTTAATCCATCTCGTAACGGGTTCTCCTCTGTTGACCCGATTCTTTGCCAGACATGTCCCTCTCTGGGGACTGGTCCCTCCTGATGACATGTCTGAAGCAGGTGAGACCAAGCCTTGCCACCTCGTGTCTAAGAAGCATTCTGGCTGTGAAGGGTGTTTCTAGTCTGCCCTTCCGGGCTGCTCTGAGTTGGAATCTATTCAACGGCCTTGGGAAGAGTGAGTTTTCCTACCTTGGGAAATCTACAATGGAGCAGGTCTTTCAGATTTTCATTTTCTAATCGAGTGGAATCCGACTCACAGCTCTCTTTCTGGAAGCAGGCTGCCCTACCTCTCTTCCTCGGAGCAGCTAGTGGCCTTGAGCCACTAACTTTCTGGTTAGCAGTCCAATACTGTAACCACTGCACCATGAGGGCACTTAGAAGTCACAACAGCTGCGCCATTTTCTATAAAGCTTTGCTAGTGACAGATCCTGGCAGAACCACTACTGAGGCCCATTTTCTCATCACCCCTCTATGAACTTGTCTTCTGCCCATTGCACAGAAGCGGAAGCTGAGGCCCAGCAAGGTTCAATCACTTGTTCAGAGCCACTGACATATGAGGGCCGGGGCTCAAACGCAGACCCTCTGAGGATGAGTACGCTTTAGCAAGCCACACCTGCCGAGTCCCAAGGGGGCTGGAATTCCATCTCAACAGATCAATGAGAGCGGAACAGTGGTGGGGGTGGGGGGCACTCACTCAGCAGGTAGCTCTTTCCATCCGGTGCTTTCTTGGGTAGGAAATACGATAAGAGGTTCTCAAAGTAGCAAGGTAGCCGCACGCTGATCATGGGAACGCCAATGGCCCGGAAGTACTCCTCCACCTGGCCTTTGCCATCAAAGTGGCCGACGCACAGCTTCCCACCCGTTAGCTTCTGGATATTCTCCAGGCCACTGTAGACCACGTAGCGGAGGCCCAGGCGTTTGGCCAGGTCGGCCAGCAGCTTTCCCTGGTGGGCAGGCAAAGAGGGAAGAAAGCAGTGAGTCCTCAATCACATGCTGGCTTTCTGAAGTTAGACGTGCCCTTTAGACGTGCCCTGGCCAGCAATGCTGAGTGCCAGCCACATCACCCCCTCTGTTGGCACTAAACACAGCACCACCTGCTGGCTGCATGGAAACCTCGGGTCCCTTCACTACCTTCCTGGGTGGGTGGACTTTCTGGCAGCCCATCAGTGGGCAATATGTAGAGAGTGGGCAGGTCGGCTGAGTGGGTGTTTTCTGCCTGCCCTGGATCAGCCTGTCCATCGTGCCAAGCCTACTTCAGACAGTCCCAGGAGCTTGACTGGGAAGGTGCTACCACTCAGGTTGACCACCCCAGTCCAGCGCTGCAATGTCCTGATGGTGTGAATCAGGTCAAGTGCTGTAACCACTCTGACCTCACCAGCTAAATGGGGACAGTATCCTTGCCACACAAGGTCATCTAATGGGTTGAAAGGCAGCCTCCAAAAACACAGATCCATTCCCCAAGTCCTAACCTTCAGAAACAGTGCCTGTGATATTTGGAAAAAGTCTTTGCAGATGTAATTAAGTTACAGATCACAAACTCCGAGCACCCTGGATGGTACCTGAAACCCCATGACAAGGGTCCTTCTAAGAGAGACAAAGGGCGCCCAGAACACCATGGCAAGATGGAGGGAGAGGTAGGAGTTTGGCGCTACCAGAGCTGGGAGGAGGCAAGAAAGGATCCTCCCCTAGGGTCTCTAGACTCTAGAGGTTTTCTGTTCCTGTAAAGTTATCGCTTTGACGCCAGCCTGTGTGATCATGAGGTATCGATGGGATCAGGTAGCAGGCATCAAAGACCCAGAACAAAAAATCATATCATTGTGAATGAGGGGGAGTACGGTGTGGGGACCCAAAGCCCACCTGTAGACTAGGACATCCCCGTACACAAGGGTCATGGGGAGATGAGCCAGTCAGGGTGTAGTATAGCACTATTGAAACATACAACTTTCCTCTAGTTCTTTAATGCTCTCCCCGCCCCCACTATCGTGACTCCAATTCTACCTTACAAATCCGGCTAGACCAGAGCATGTACATGGGTACAGGTAAGAGCTGGAAACATAGGAATCCAGGACAGATAGATAAACTCCTCAAGACCAATATTGAGAGTAGCCATACCAGGAGGGTAAGGGGAAGGTAGAGAGAGATACAGGGAACCGACCACAATGATATACCTATAACCCCCTCCCAGGGGGATGGACAACAGAAAAGTGGGTGAAGGGAGACATTGGTCAGTGTAAGACATGAAAAAATAATACCATAAATTATCAAGGGTTCATGAGGGAGGGAGGGTGGGGAGGCGGAATGAGGAGTTGATACCAAGGGCTCAAGTAGAAAGAAAATGTTTTGAAAATGATGATTGGCAACAAATATACAAATGTGCTTGACACAATGGTTGGATGGATGGATTGTGATGAGTTGTGCCGAGCCCCCAATAAAATGTTAAAAAACAAACAAACAAAAAGTTATAGCTTTGAAAACCCACAGGAACAATTCTACTCTGTCCTACACAGGGGCATCGACTCCATGGCAGGGAGGAAGCCTCAAGAATGCGGAGCGCACGGATTGCTGTGGTTTTCAGGCACCAGGCATGTGGCGCTTTTGATCTGCAGCCCCACGACACTAGGCCAGATTGTCAGGGCAGTCAGATGATATCTACAACAACCAGAAGGGCTGTCTTTGTCCACTTGTAATGGGCTTCCATTCCACTACTCTCCAAGAAAAGGTTCAAAGCCAACAGTTTTTAGACTGAGGTTCTGTCCTGACATTTACAAAGGACAACAACCGGGACCAGAGAGAAAGAAGCACATGTTTGAAGCCAGACATTGCATTCTGGAAGAGGCAGGACTTCCGCCTGAGGCTCCCGATTCTCTACAGCTCACCCACGGGATCCTTGGAACACAAGGCACTGCATGAGAACACAGCCCCCTCCCTTCCTTCGCCAAGAACATGGAACAAGAAGGCAGCGATGTGCAGCGCTAAGTTCCTCCTGGCAACCTGAAGGAGAGATTCTTCCAAGTTGCCCAGCTCTTAGCCTCACCTGCTTAACCTCCTGCTCCTGGCTGAGGTTCTCCCAGTAGTTGGTCACGATGAAGGTGGCGTAGGCCCCGGTCAGGGCCAGCTCCATGCTGGCCTGGTCATTCTGGTCTCCCTGTACCACTTCTGCACCTTGCAGCCTCAGTGCCTTCGCAGCGTGCTGCCCAGGATCCCGGGTCACCACTCGGACCGTGAATGTCCCATCTTCCAGCAGAGTCCGAGCCACCGAGCCCCCCTGGGCACCTGCAATACACCAGAAAGATCTCCAAGGTCAGAGGTGCTTGGAGACCCCCAAGGGGAATATACCCCAAGAAAATGTTTTACTAGAGCAAGAAACCACCAAGAGACACTCACAGATGGTTTCTAAGACACCCTTCCACTGTTTAAAAAGAATAGCTTAACTGAGGTGTTAATTCACTTACTGTGCTCTTTTAAAGTAGAGTTTTGTAGTTTTTAGTGTATTCACAAGCAGCCCTGGTAGTGTAATGGATTACATTCCAGGCTATTCACAAGGTCAGCAGTTCAAAACCACCAGCCACTCGGGGGAAAAAGATGAGGCTTTCTACTCCCGAAAAGAGCTATATTCTCATAAACCCACAGGGGCAGTTCTACCCTGTCCGCAAGGGTCGCTTTGAGTCAGCACCGACTCGATGGCTATAGAGTGTATTCACAGAGCTGTACAACTACCAACATGCAATGTGGAATATTTTCCTCATCCTTAGAACGCAACTCACCCCTGTGAGCCCCACAATAGACAGGTTTATAAGAGGGACTATTGGAGCTCTGGTGGCATGGTGGTTATGCATTAGGCTTTTAACCACAAAGTTGGAAGTTCAAAACCACCCGCCACTTCAAGGGATAAAACAGGCCTTTCTACTCTTGTAGAGTTACAGTCTCAGAAACGCATAGGGATAGGTCTACCCTATCCCATAGGGTTGCTGTGGGTTGGGAGGTTTGGTCCGTTAGCTAAGGGGGGACTAACATCAGGTAGGCTGATACTTCTTCAAATAATCAACTGATTGGCCATCAAAAAGGCAGGATTTGCCTAAGGACAAGGTTCAGAAGGCTGGAAGGGATAAGAAAAGAGGACTGGAAGCAACAGACCCAGGGAGGAGGCGAAGTTATGTTAACATTACAGGATTGTAGCCAATGAAATGGAATAAAATGTGTCTGAACTGAATGGAGAACTGATCTGCTCTGTAAACCTCACCCCAAATTACAATCAATAAAAAAATTTTAAAAACCACTAATTGAATAAAAGAATTAATTAAAAAAAAAAACACTAATTGGACAGAAAGGGCTAAGCAAAATGTCTGTATTTACATTGTATGACTGCAATGTAAATCCTGCAGGAAGTCATGAATACAGAAACTGGGAAAGCCTGATAGACTCATCCTGTGTGCATGTGTACATTAATATCAAGATCAATATCTGATTTTACATTTGATCTCTCTTTTGACCCATGCTAACCAGAGAAATACTGTGACCATAGAACAGGAATGTGAATGCCCTTGCTATCATGCAGAATTCTTTGGAAGGTAAATTATTGCAGATGCAGTTAAGTTAAAATATAACCCTTGATCCTTTGAGATCCTTTTTGACCCATCTATTGTAGTTTTTAATATTCCTCTTCTTTTCGATCGAGCATGTTTAACTTTGTTGTTGTTTTTTAAAATATATTTCTCTATGAAAAAATATTTTAAAAACAAAAAATGAAATTCAGGACCCATTAGCAGACTCATTTTAAAATTTCCGTGTAATAAGCCCCCATGGTCATCCCAAGTCCATTGAAAAAACCTATCATGATGACCCCTTTGGAATCCCAAAGATCCATAGCCATAACCTTCTGGGCTGACCTCACTGCCCTGAATGGGACTTCTTTTGTGAGAGGCATCCTACAGAGACTAAGTGGAGCCCGTATGGGGTAGTAGTTAAGCATTGGGCGGCCAACCACCAGGTCAGCAGTCCCAAAGCACAAGAGGGGGCTTGCTTTCTCCGCCTGTAAAAAGCGAGTCTCTGAAACTCAAAGGGGCAGTTCTACCCTGCGCTATAGCGCTGCTGGGGGCCACCATGAACCCCACGGCAGTGAGTTTTGGGTGAAGAGACTAAGGTACGACCTAGAGAACTTGTCCACAGTTGTCCACGGACCCATGGGCCCCAAAGAAAAACGTAAACACAGTTTGCACGAACCACATCTGTGCAGCATGAACTGGAACCCAGGAGCAATACCTTTCGACTTGCTATTGTAAGCATCTGAGAGGAAATCACGTGGAGGCAAAATAATACACCACCGTTTGATTAACTAGTGTCTAGGCAGTCTGCTAGAGCAGCAGAGAAACAGTGGCGGGTGGAGGGAGGGAGGGCGGACGCAGAGAGAGGTGCAAAGACTTCCTTTTCCTGCCCTGGTGGCATAAAGGATTATACCAGCAGAGGTTCGCGCCCACCAGCCCCTCAGTGGAAGAACCGTGAGGCTGTGCGCTTCTGTACCCATTTACGGCCTCCGGCGTCTTGGGGTTCTGGTCTCTCCTCTTGGGTCACTCTGTATCGGAAACTACGTATATAAAGTTAAGGTAACTCATCTTTAACAATTAAGGAACCATCGGGCTGTTTCACCCCAGGCGTGAGCCCCAGTCATCTCACCCCTCGGGGTGGGGGGCGCTGGGGAGAACCAACCCCAGGCGAGCCGGTCCCCTGCCGCGGGGTGTCCCGTTTCAGCCCCTGGACGCGGAGTTTGGGGTCTCGCTCACCTGTGGCTCCGAACACCACCACGAGTTTCTTATCCGCCATGCGGGCAGGAGCGGATGGGCGTCGTGAGAGGCACGGGGGTCGCGAGGGGTCCTTGTCCGGCCCGAGCAGAGAAGGGGCTACCCCGATATCTTACCCACGCGACCCCTGGCCGTCCACCCCTTCCCCCGCGGCCCGCCCTGCG